ACAATGTACATAATTACTTCTCTTTTATTTACACATGTGAATATGCAAAACAAAAATACAAAATGTACAGAAAGTACTCAGGCTCATTTACAAATAAATTACACTACAAAAATGAATAAAGTATACAACTTATTCATTTCATTTTTAACTTACATCACAAAAATAAACTACAGAAATTAGGTTGTTTCATTGAAAATGTGACATTTAAAAAAAAGATATTGAAAAACGGTAATGTACCCATTTTTTCCACTGCTTTCTCTACTTGAGAGAAGGGTTAATAAATAATGTATTGTCTCCATTTTCTCCCTGCTCTCCTGTGCTCTTCTCTCCTCTGTCTCTCTCTGGAGTTTGATGTCCTCCCTGAGTAGCCCCACCAGCTTCCACTCACTCCCTCACCTGTCCCAGGACACTTGCTCTCCTGTGCTCTTCTCTCCTCTGTCTCTCTCTAGAGTTTGATGTCCTCCCTGAGTAGCTCCACCAGCTTCCACTCACTCCCTCACCTGTCCCAGGACACTTGCTCTCCTGTGCTCTTCTCTCCTCTGTCTCTCTCTAGAGTTTGATGTCCTCCCTGAGTAGCTCCACCAGCTTCCACTCACTCCCTCACCTGTCCCAGGACACTTGCTCTCCTGTGCTCTTCTCTCCTCTGTCTCTCTCTAGAGTTTGATGTCCTCCCTGAGTAGCTCCACCAGCTTCCACTCACTCCCTCACCTGTCCCAGGACACTTGCTCTCCTGTGCTCTTCTCTCCTCTGTCTCTCTCTAGAGTTTGATGTCCTCCCTGAGTAGCTCCACCAGCTTCCACTCACTCCCTCACCTGTCCCAGGACACTTGCTCTCCTGTGCTCTTCTCTCCTCTGTCTCTCTCTAGAGTTTGATGTCCTCCCTGAGTAGCTCCACCAGCTTCCACTCACTCCCTCACCTGTCCCAGGACACTTGCTCTCCTGTGCTCTTCTCTCCTCTGTCTCTCTCTAGAGTTTGATGTCCTCCCTGAGTAGCTCCACCAGCTTCCACTCACTCCCTCACCTGTCCCAGGACACTTGCAATCCTAAGGCAGAGCAAATAAACCATGCCTGTTAACAACAACAGCACAATGAATTTCAGCAAAAATCTGTCTATTAACTTGCTTACTTTGTATTTTTTAAGTCTTTCCCCAACAGGCTAATTTTCTCCAGAATAGTCCTAAAACAAGAGAAAATGGAAACACTTATGAAAAATATAATTAGATAATATGACACAGCAGGACATGTATACAAAATACTGAAGTGCTAAAGTTTGGTTAAAACATTTGTAGGCATATCTTGAATGACAGCAATACAAAAACACAACAAAGGGAAAGACTATTATTGCCTTATATAGTGGTTGTCTTATTGTTTGTGGGCTTTGTGTAAAAAAAAACCTGGCTTTTTACACTTTCGCTAGGTATTTGAGTAAATTAAAACACAATACTTACATTTCAATGTGAATTCCCCACAGAACTCTCACCTGCCCTGTTCTTCTTCTTCTTTTGATGTTTTATGGCGGTTGGCAAACCCCGCCCTGTTCTTTGAATATAAACACCATTGTCATATGCGTGCAAGTGATTCTGGGAAACAGAGGGCGCATTTGAAGTCGCTTTCGAATTATGGCAGCCTTCGTCGCGCTGCGGTGATGCAATCGGCCTTGGAATTCGGTCTTTGGAGGGTGCATCCTGAATTGGGACAGCTTACGTCCTGACGCTGTGACGCAATCGCACTTGAAATGCGCACTCCGGAGTCCACGCACTTCAGTTTGGGACACACCTTATGTGTATGACGCTGCTCCCATTAAGTGCTGTTAGAAGTGAATGAATTGATTCAGCATTAAACAAAGCGGTTTAATAAAGGATGTATTGATCTCGTGAATTAGCGAATTTTACTATACCAATATTTTTTAATTTATTAAACTCGACAAAGCGGTTTAATAAAGGATGTATTGATCTCGTAAATTAGCAAATTTTACTATACCAATATTTTTAAATTGGCTGTTAAAAGTTTATATGGGAATATGACACGCTGATCCTTTAACAATGCATTGGTGCAAAAACAAATCTCGCAACATGATTTATCAACTGCCACAAATACTGCTTAAACAAAATACTGATTTTGTGCACTTTATTTACTGTACCAATATTTTAAATTGGCCTTTGAACTTAGCTTTATTGCATGGCAAAAAAAAAGCGTTACCTTGCCAAAGCACTGACAGAGCCCATTGATCCAATGGCGTTGATGAGCGCTTCAAATGCAAACTTTGCATGCAACAATCAGGCAGTAATTGACAGCGCTCTGATCCAATGGCATACAGGCATTGTCAGATTGACAGTACTCTAGCCCAATGATGTTGGGGGATCCAGTGGGGGCGGCAGTCATATTTCAGGGTGACTGTGCCACTCTTTATCACAACCCTGCTAAAATGTAGTGCCAGTACGTGCCTTCAGCTGGTGGCGCCCTAGGCGACCGCCTAGCTCGCCTATGCCTAAAAAACGGTACTGATTATAGAACTGAGAGAGAAATATGCTTTGTGTTTTCCTGGTTGAGAGATTATTTTTAAAAATGCAAAAAAGATGCACATGCCACAAAACCAAATAGGGCTCAGGTGCAGGACAAAAAGGACAACCTGAAGCCTGTGCTTGACGAAGACCTGATGGTCGAAACGTTGCAATAAAATTTTGTATGGAGCAGTTATATCAGTGTGTGGACATTACTTTTGTATTTTGCTTGAGAGATGATGTTACCTCATAGAAGTGATGTCAGTTGAATGTCCATTATTTTACAAGGGTTACAGGGCTGACATGAAATCAGGGGACACCAATAAAATGATTTATATTTGATAGAAACGGTGTATACTTATGCCAAAAACATTGCTTACCAGTGAGAGATTTAACAATGATTTTTATATCATTTTGCCCTCATTTTGACAATTAAAAGTCCTGCTGAAAAAGAAAAATCGTAGTGAGGGACAGGCCCGAAAACCTTCAGCATGAATGTTATTTAAAATAATATTGAATTGACTTTAATCTGATGTAAAATTGATGAAAGAATACATAGTATTGTTACATTTTTGCATCGCAAATGTATTTGTTGTTACATTAAATTCTATGTTTGATTATTTCTTAGGGACGCAAAAAAAAAAGGCACTGGCTGGGATTTTTTTTATTTTTTATGGATATCTGGAAGTAACATTCTTAATTGCTTTTTAGATGCCTGAAACATGCATGTAAATGCAGCCCCACCTTTATTAACATTGTATTAACCAACTCTACCTTGGAAACGGTTGCCATCTGCCATTTTGTCCAGGATTGTGAAAGGATTAAATCTGTATGTTTGGGTAATTTAAAATGCTTTAAACATAAATAATTGATAAAATATGAAAACAAAAATGACACAATGTAAGCAGAGATGTCTCAATGTAGTGCTCATCACTGAAATCAGCAGAATATCACCATCACTGAACTCTTTCTATAATACAACACTCCCACCTTGTGGCCTGTTGCCTTGAGTAAACCTGCTTTGACACATCATGAGTAATATCACATTATGTGGGCCAAGAGTACAGTCAGTCAGTACAGTTCAAATAAAAAAATTAAAAAATACTACTTTTATCACAGATGGAATTCGGAGGTATGCAAGTCTGATAAAGCAAGGCAAGTTTATTTATAAATAAAAATTACATTAAAATTAAATTTATGCATGTAGCAGACGCTTTTATCCAAAGCGACTTACAGTGCATTCAGGATATACATTTTGTTTATCAGTATGATAAAATAATATAATATAATGATTGTATTCTGGGCTCATCTGCATTCTTCATCACGTGTAAGCAGCACTATGTAACTTTTTCTGTGTTCACAATTTGCTAAATGTATATAATGAGCGAGTACATCATGAATTCATCTTCCAAACTGCGTTTTTGTCTTATTCCGAATCACTCCGGTACACTTATAATAAGTGCTTATATTCGGACTATTGTAGCCTGGTCACCGCTGCGGAGTAACACATACCTGCGTGAATCGCCATAGACATAAACTTAGAGAAGTAGCTCCGGTTAGAATGTTCTTCCGCGGGATGTGTGCAGTTCTGTTTATTAACCGCTAGAGCGCCTAAAGTTACACAGTGCTGCTTTAAACTTTGAAAATGACCTACATTACGCCACATTTTAGATCGTCCCGCTGTTTCAGTGATCGAAAAGACGGCGCTGCATGTCTCGATTCCCAAAGCTTGGCGTTTATTCACATTTATTTGTTTTTCTTGTATTGAGAGGTGATATAAATACTACAATATTTTCGTGAATCCGGTCAAAATGTCGTTACTTCCTTAGTTACCGTCACTATGGTTACTGAAAACAAGCAACTGTGCGGTGCTGCGTTAGAAACGGTGAGTGTAACACACACACTCTCTCTCACACACACACACACAGCTTTCTGTCGTGTTGTTTTGATCGTGCTTTAAAGACCTATCGCTCACTGCAGCGCTGTTCAGGTGAGAAAACACCGATCTCGAGCCAAAAATATTCTTCTTCCATTCACAGTGTAAGTTGTGTCCGTATCAGTGAAAATAATGCCATTAAATGCATGCGAGTTGTTATTGTCAGAGGGCTAATATTGCGAAAGACTACGAGATCAGTCCTGTTTTTGCAGAGGAAGACATGGACGAGACAGACTCTGATTTCTACCTGCTCTTCATCAGATGCTCTTCTCAAACAGAGTAATTTGACTGCCAATATTTGAGATTCCTATTTATTTCTTTGCTTGTTTGCTATTTAAAGCAGTGTCTGACCATCTCTCATCTCGCCTAAAACACTGTTTTCCCCCCCAAAACAGATTTTCAGGGTCACCCGACTTGTGTCAAGGGCTCAGCAAATGTTATTTAGAGGACCGTGTGTTTCCTGTGCTGCTGCCTGGACTGGAGGCTTTGCTTGCAGAAGCACAGAAGCACCACTGCATGGAGGTTATTTCCTATTATATCATGCGTACTTCGAATGCTGTTTAAGCATTTGAATGGTTGAATGGCATAGTTTCTAAAAAAGTACAAATTCTTAATGTTCTATCATGTATTTTATATAATTTCCTTTTATATAATGCATGCTTATGCTACCATTCAAATGTTTAAATGGTATTCGGCTATAGTTTCTACATAAATGTTAAAGGGATAGTTCACCCAAAAATGAAAATGTGATGTTTATCTGCTTACCCCCAGGGCATCCAAGATGTAGGTGACTTTGTTTCTTCAGTAGAACACATTTGATGATTTTTAACTCCAACCGTTGCAGTCTATCAGTCGTATAATGCATGGCAATGGTAACAAAATCTATGAGAG